TTCCTTGTGTCAGCCAGTCACGCGTACATGGAGTACATAGTCCTGTGAAAATATTATGTTATGGTTTGTGCAGTTATATTTAGTTTCCTGGTTTGTTTTCTTGACATGTAGGCAGCAGCTCGTTCCACAGAATAACTCTGATTTCTTCTCTGTAAATAATGAAAAAGTGACTTGAATTATGTTATTTTCTGCTGATGAATGTGCCCCTTTTTTCTCTTTTTTTATGGGAACATGCTGAGCATACAGCATAATATACATGACCTGGAAAGTACACATTCATATTTGTAGAGCATTAAAAGCCACAATCAGTAATAAGCTGTAAAATCTGCTCAGAAAAGCATGAAATATGGAGGAATTTAGAAACGACATACAATGTTTGCACTTTATTACGAGGAGCTCAACAAAGTTATGATGTTGATTTACCTCTTCTTACATCACAATGAGTCAGGGGTGAGTATTTACAGGCTTCACATTGAGTCCAGCATTTTCTGATTATTATTGAAGACTGACATGAACCAGAGTCAGAACTTCTCTGGTTACTCATCAGCAAATGTTAACAATTAAAGAAATCTAAATTTCCTCATTAATAGGTGCACACAAAGAGCACCATGAGTCACGCAGGGATTCCTCTGACCAGAACATCCCATTCAGCAGCCTGCTGGCAGATCCTCTTAAAGCTAGGTGATCCAGAATATTCTCTGCTGATTAGACAGTGGTTGCTTTCACACCAGGTCCAAGTGTAAATACAACCAAGATCTGCAGAGTCCCCGCCCAGCTCCTAGCCTTTTACTGACAGCTTCATTCCATTGGCAAGAAAAACTGGTGATTGATACTGTTGCAACACTGGCTTACTAATTCAGGAACTTATAAACACTCCGAAAACAGTCCGAGAGCAAACAGTCCTTATTTACCATCATATAATGATTTAGAGTGGTGCTTAGGTACAGGGCTAGAATTAGACACTGAGGTCTGAAGGTGTTGTTTAACATGCTGATAATACCCGAGGGGCTGTGATCACTGAGCAGCTCTCATGTGGTTCAGTCCTGAAACAGCTACAGCTCTGCACTAACCATAATCACAGTGTAAAAGGCCCACAGGGCCATTATGGCTTTATAAAATGATTCTGCATACATACTGCCAAGCTGACAAAGTCCTGCCTCCTGATTCTTTCCTAATATCTTCACTTTCACCATGTCTCACCCCCAAGGTCTTTATTTCTTTAGGAATTATCTCACCCTGGTCAATCATGGACACTGTGGGGTGTCTAGAGTGCCATTAGAACAATATTAAGGTGTAAAGATAACTTTAACAGTACAATACAACACAACACAAGCGCTGTTTCCCTAACACTAATTAAGAGTGGTGGTGTGTCCCCCCCCCCCCCCAACACCACTCTGCACCACTCCAAAAGAAATGTGCAATATAAAGACTTTGTGTGTTTTATTTCAGCATGTTTATCCATGAGTTTCCCTGCAGCAGGGCATGTCTCTCCAGTGATCTGATGTGGGCCTGTGTTCCTACAGAAGGCAGGGCTAATTCATGCATCATTTCCACAGCAATGGCTTCATTTTCATTTCTGTTACTGTTAATAAGTCAGCACTTTTAGTCTGCTGATGGGTATCTAGAGAATGAAAGACTCACCTATTTCCATCTTAAGCAGAGCACACATCTTTGCAAGCATAGAGAGTTTATCAACTTTGCACAAACTTTAATTGTGGCAGGACTACCACCACAGAGTCTTCCAGGCATACGCACTGCTAAGATGTCTTAAAATCACTCTTTTCCCATTCTCTGTTTTTTTCACGTGACACAGCAGCAAACATGCACAGCCTCTAGTTTGCTGGACACTGTCTTACAACATTAAAACATCCAGTTCAGTTTCAAAATAAAACACACTGTGTTGATGACAAATCATATTTCACTGGATTAAACCAAAAAACTGTCTCAGTGAACAGAGCAAGGCTGGGAGTCAGCAGGTCAGAAATTTTCAGAGCTCATCATTGAGGTATATACTGACTCTGTATTTAACAGGACAAAGCCTTGGTCTCCTGACTTACGCGGTCTGTTTAATGGTGTTGCTTCATGCAGTTGGTGAGTGTTGACGGATGAAGGAGCACAGAGTTGAACTGATTGGAGTGGATGTATCAGTCTTTAAGGTCTGTCCAGCCCAGATAGGAAATCATAGATTTAGGAAATCTGCTGAAGATGCACATGTAAATCAGTGCCACTCTGGCCATCCCTGTCCTTCCTCCCTGTGTCTCTTTGAACACTTTGTCTTTTTGCGGGTATGTGGATGTCAGCTCTAAAACCTTTTGCATAAAACCAGTGGAAGAATCTCCCGGCTGTACTCTCTCTCTGTCTGTAAAGGTATATAAGCAGAGATTCTGTCTTTTCCTGAATATAGCCTCCACAGACTGAATAATCTGGGATAATCTGAGTGTCTCTGTACTGTGAGCTCTCCTGGCAGCCTGGAGAGGGAAGGTAGCAGCCATTGGTGTGTTACAGGTATATAGATCCCACAGAGAGCTCTGTACCTGTTTAAGAGTGCAGCTTAGACCACTGTGAGCAAACCCCAGTCACATCTGAAACCTCAGGCACACTGTGGATTATGCACAAGCGTGACTGCTTTAGCTATGAAAATGTAGGTTTTGGCCCAGACGTCTGAATGATTTTACTATTACTGTTTTTTTAATTCCTCTGCTCCACCTCTGCTGTTTCAGCCCCCACAGACTGAGACCTCTCAGCAGAGATCCCGTTCTCCTCATGTCTCTCTGTCCTTTTAATTGTCTTAGATTTCTCTTCTCTGCCTTTACTTCCTGCCTTATTTTCACTGTGTGACTGATCTGCCTCTTGACAGGTGAGATTTCTGTGAATGCCTGACCTGTTAATCCATGGTCCTCAGGGCCAGTCCTGTGCATTCAGATCAAACCTCATATCCCATCACCCACTCCTCTTAGACACTTAAGAAGAAGTCTGAGGCTTCCTTTATGAGGTCATCACATACTCCTGCTCCTGGCCAATATACGCCTTCCGCTCCTCACTGGGTCCTTGTACTGTTCTTATTTCAGCTCCATTAAAGATAATTGGTGCAGCGCTCCAGAATAAATGTTGAGGGGGAAACCATGGCTGCTCTTTGCTGCTAAGTTCAACATCTGAAGAGGATGGAGAGTATCAGCACATGGTGTAAAAGTTCACAATGTCTTTATTTTCTCCTGCCTATCACTTATCCAAATCGGTGGTCAATATTTGCTCTGGTGATGGTTGCTTCCAGTGGCTAATTTACTGAAAGGGATATCTCTTTATTTAGATATCCACTCCTGCCGGCCCAGAGCAAAGAGCAGACTGAAGGTATTATTCTCACACTTGTAAAGGTGCTCCACCATGGCCATGACGGTAATGAAAAATAATTTCGTCCAATGAGCCCTTCCCTCCTATCAGGCTTGCTCCCTTCTCAGCTTTGACTAATCTGTGATGCTTGGTCATGGTAGGAATCAAAGACTGAAAACAAACAGCAGAGTTTGTTAGTTAATTGTTTGAGTTCATGATTTTTGCATTGTTGCTCAGTCCTCCAGTGATCAGAACTCTGAATGAACCTCTTTTCAACATATCAAAAGCTCCTTACAGCATTTGGCCCAGTGGTTCTCTAACCTTCCTGTCTCACTCCCTTTTTGTGATTCAAAAACTTCCCCCACTGAACAAAACAATGAGAAAGGACTGTGTAGTTTATTATGTGTTTTAATGTGTTGGGTCTAATAAGCATTATCTATGGACTCGATGACACACTAGGTCTGTCCTCATTTCTCTCTGTATCGGTGAAGCTAAGAGTGACACAGGGTTTGTCATATTTGCCTTTCTTGTTCGTCAGGGGAGATTCTGCTTTCATCAGAGATCTTTTCAGTCCATCTCCTCAATGTTTAAATAAACACCATCAATGTTGTGCATGTCCAGTTTTCTTTGCAATTCCTTGTGATGATGATTACTCATCAAGGCAGTAGCGGGCAAAACCCACAGGGTCCGGAACAGCTCCACTCCGCTCCGGCACGGCCGGCGAATCAAATCCACAAGCATTATAATCAATGTGAGTCATTCCACAGAAGCCGTCTACGGCAGCTGGATCAGGTACGCAAGGCTTCTATTTTTGCCGGACGCCGGAGCACAGTGCATCAATTCAGTGCAGTGGAGCACGAGCAGCAGCGGAAAGTTTATGCAGTTACAGAGAAAAATATCCAGTTAATTTTCAAAATAAAATAAAATCAATACATTGAACTGTTCCTAAGTTGATAATAGGAGAGGCCATTGTTGTGGGATGTGGGTGTTTAAATGCACCGCCGTTTATATACACCAATCAGTAGATCTTATTCCATGACTCCTGGGGAAACACACGAGAGCTCGTGAAATTTCATACAGTCTTGTGAGAAATATCGGTAGTTTCGTGAGAGCTTCTCCTTCGATGGTGGCGGCAGATTGGATCCAGTTGGCGCTGTATGCTTGCGGATCTGATCCGCCTGCCAGTCCGGAGCAGAGCGGAGCCGTTCCGGATCCTGTGGGTTTAGCCAGTAGGTCTGCACTACATGTTCCTCCTGGCCAGTGGCTTTTCAGCATGAACCATCATGGCCGTCAGTGTAAAGCATGAAACTGCTCTGGTGATGGCATATTGAACCATCCACACATGTCAATGCTGTACAGCCAAATAACGGATAAGTCAATGGTGGTTTATGAGTGACTAGTATGAAGTTTCATTGACATAATAGAATACCACCCCTTACCTCACAATTAGCTTGTCAGTATCCCAAAGAGCCTTGAAACATAAAGACCCATGTTTGTTCAACCCTTTGACTTTGTTGGGCTCAAAGTGATTCCTTCATTTCATGTAGTTTCTATACCACAGCCATCAACAGCCTCTTGTGGCGTGTGGTGTATTTTGAGGACCCAGAAGCAGACACAGAGGCAGATAGCAAATTAAAGATGTAAGTTTAATGTCCAAGCTCAAGGGGAAAAGACACGAGGAAAGTCTGGTTTGCTGGCTGGCTGTTGTGTGGGCTGGAGACACTGTGGAAAAACAGAGGAGATGGGAGTGAGACAACATACAACAATTCACAAGGAGCAAAAAGTCACAATCACTTATCCGAAAAGAAGGCCAGGAGACACGTCTGTACCACTCAGGAGTGAAGACAATACTCAGGTGCTGAGACTGAGGGCTGCTGGCTTCTTAAAGGGCCTTGATTGTAAATGCAGTGCAGGTCAGGAGTCTCACTCAGCCTCAGCGACCAGGGGAGGGGGAGGGTGCTCTGGAACAGAGTCAAGCCAGACCAGGAAAACAAAGGAAAACAGGAAGTTAAATCAAAATAAAACAAGAGGAGGAGGCGTCTCACCACAGTCACCCCCTCTCAATGAACACCTCTTGGCGTTCTGCCGGGTTTGTTGGGGTGAGCGGCGTAGAAGTCGTCGATGAGTTGATGGTCCAGGATGAGGGAGCGGGAGATCCAGGACCGCTCCTCTGGCCCGTAACCCTCCCAATCCACAAGGTATTGGAAGCCTTGACCCCGAGGCTGCACGTCCAGGATTTGCCCACAGTGAAGGCAGGGTGGTCGTCAATCATCCAGGGGGGTGGAGGGGCGATGGAAGGAGGGCTCAGGGTGCACGTGTTGACAGGCTTTATCAGGGAGACATGAAACGTAGGGTGAATTTTGAGGGATGAGGGAAGTTTCAGTCTAACCGCTGATGGGTTGATAATTTTCTGGATCAGGAAGGGACCAATAAAGCGGGGGGACAGCTTGCAGGACTTGGTCTGCAAGGGAACGTCATGGGACAATAACCAGACATTCGTGGGGGACCACGATCTGACACTATGTCGATGGGGATACCATGAAGTTGGAATACTTGAGACACTAGGAGATTAGCAGTTTCTAGAGCAGACAGGAGCTTGGGTAATGGGACATAATGCATGAATCTGGAAAATCTGTCTATGATGGTGAGTAGGACTGTCTTACCTTTAGAAGGGGGAAGACCAGTGATGAAATCTAGAGCTATGTGAGACCAGGGGCGTGAGGGCACAGGCAGAGGATGCAGCAAGCCAGCCGGAGGTTGATGGGAAGCTTTGCCTCGGGCACAGACAGAGCAGGCAGCAACAAAAGCCTGTACGTCCCAGACCATCCCCGGCCACCAGAACCGCTGCTGAAGGAATTGTAGGGTGCGTTGAAATCCGGGGTGGCAGGTGAGTTTAGAGGAGTGCCCCCACTGCAGGACCTGGGGTGTTTCCGGAGGGCCTTGTCCACCATGGTGTCGATCTCCGAAGAGGCGGAGCCGAGGATACAGGAGGCAGGGAGGATGGTGTCCGATTCTCTGGGGTCTGAGGTAGCGGAGTAGTGTATCCGAGATAGGGCGTCAGGTTTGAGGTTGCGGGAGCCAGGACGATAGGAGAGGGTGAAGCAGAATCTGTTGAGGAAGAGGGACCAGCGGACTTGCCTGGAGTTGAGGCATCGAGCAGAACAGAAATGTTGCAGGTTTTTGTGGTCAGTCCAGATGAGAAAGGGGTGTTGTGCTCCTTCCAGCTAGTGCCTCCATTCTTGGAGTGCCCACACAACAGCCAGCAACTCACTGTTTCCCACGTCGTATTTATAAGACATTCAACTGTTATAATATTATCTGACTGTATCATAACACTTAATGACATTTTAATAACTGGCTCAAAATGTCTCACTTTACTTCAGGTCAGGGATATAAGACATTTAACTGTTCAAAGATTATGTGACAGTATCATAGCACTTAAGGACACCTTAATAACTGGTTCAAAATGTTTCACTTTACTTCAGGTCAAGTAAATAACTCATTTACCTGTCTACTGATAGGTAATGTCAATTCCAACCAGATATGACAGATCAATTCAAAGTTAATAGATACAACTAAACTGTGTCTTTACATCTGTTGGTGGAGTCTGTTACGTTAATGTCAGGTAGTCATAATGAAAAACTTGGGGGGTAATTTGTCCCTAGTTGTCTCTGGTCAAGTTGCCATGACAAAGACAGTGGTTGGTCATTTTGTCCTCTCCTTACGTCAGGTTGTTTTGACAAAGACAATGGTTGGTCATTTTTACCTCTCCTTATGTCAAGTTGTCATGACAATGCCTTCCCAAACAATGTCAACATAGCCCAAAAGTGTCATTATTTACCGAATTACACTTAATGACAACCTTTATGAAGCATTATTTATGTTAATGACAGGTGTCATGTCATGATAATGACAGTGTAGTGTCATCTTATGTAGACCCCTTCAAATAAAGTGTTACAGTTTTTTTCTATTGTGGCCTTTCCCATAATGTCTTGATGTGAGATAATGTCTCTTAACTTAATAAGAATAAGAACTTTATTAATCCCCACAGAAATTCAATTGTCTGTTGTCTCATAAAATATGTCTCTAAAAGTTATCTACTATTTACACAAGAGTTACAGCTAGAAAATGACTCTTGTGCCCTATCAAATCTTCTCACTGTTTTAGGATCACAACAGTGACCAGCATGTCTTTCCAAGGTAGTCGTGAATTTCCTGTAGCTGAACTTCACTTGATGCTCCAATAAGTTTTATTCTTTTATCATGGTTTTCCTGACCAAATCTATGGTCCTTAGTCATCAGAGTGTAACATGTAGCTATGACATTAGCCGGCTTTATGGTTTGTGAAATAATAGGTATAGACTGAACTAGTTTGACAGCAGAGACCATCTGAATTGGTATATTTTGAGTACCATGTATGAGCCTCACCAAATAGCCATTTTTGTCTTCAAAATGGAAACATGAGTGAGTCCATAATGGACCAGGGGCCCGGACGCTGTCTGCTAAGTGAACCAGGAGGTGCGCATTTGCAGTTAGGTACCGCTAACCATAAAGATTACACATTTGAGAACAGAAGTTCCACAACAGTTTCTCAGCATGATCAACCATTTCCACAGATATGGATTCCATCAACAGAATGAAAATGGCTTCACTTAGGAGGAAGTGATTGTAGTATGCTGTTGCAAGGACACCATGAAAAACAACAGGTCCATACAGAAGAAGCGCAAAAGATCACAATATTCTGATGCTTTCTGTGTGATACCACTGATCAGGGATATCGCGTTAGAGATCTTGAATTTGCTGGTCAATTTCCTTACTATGTTTTGAGATGGTGAAAGGCTTACAAGAAAACTCTTGAGAAAACCATAGAGCCATCAAAAGGCGCATCATCCCAGAAGATCTGAGTGCATGTAATCAATGCCAGTGCCTTGGATTAACTGAACAGTTTTTAGTAGTCTAAGCACACAGGGACCCTTCACCCCTTTTAGATAGATGGATGGATGGATGGATGGATAGATGGATAGATAGATAGATAGATAGATAGATAGACTTTATTGATCCCAAACTGGGAAATTCTCTTTCCCAGTTACTGTAGTTTTGGTGTCATCTGCCATTTTAGCATCAAGGTCAAACCCTTCATCCGTGTGTGGTGGCCCTTTTGAATTTTCAGTTATGATGGGAATTGAAAGAACATGTTCCCTTTCCCCAGTCTTAACAGTTTCCCCAGGCTGTTCACGTTTATGACATCCAGATTTCCCATTGTATTGCATTGAATTAAGTACTAAAGCTTTGGCAGGCAAGTCACGTGTTCCTGCAATAGTTAGCACTTTACACACAAAGGGTTCAGATGCCTCTGCAGGTTGCACAAGGATTCCATCATCTTCAAGTTTTCTCAGTGTTTTGCTTAGTGGTTTAAGAAAAGTATGCACGGATGGTTTTGAATCACCATACCAAAGCCCAGCAAATATCACATTTTGTCTTTTTGTGCGTTCAATGAAGCTCAATTCGTTAATGACATAATAAAAACGCCACACTGAAAACTTGGATGATTTGAAAACAGGTTCCCCATCTGTGTTCCAAGTAAGTAATATGTTATTAGGGTTAATCTAAAGTTAACTTCTTCTGAAAACCAGGTGTTGCACATGACAGACATTGTAACTGTTCACCTTCTATGGACATAAAACATTTACTGCAATATTTATGTAAAATAGGGGATGAAGCAGAGTGAGAGAAAAAAAGCCTTTGAACTTCTCTACACTGTTCAAGTGGTCTGTATTCAGACTATGGGGACAAAGCAGTTTGCACAATTTGAGCAAGTCACTAAGGGCCGTATCAGTTACTTTATGGCAGTTCACATAAGCCATTATTATCAAAAGGCACTCTGGAACAGTTATCGATGCATTGTCATACAAAGGCAAGTCTGTTTTGTCCTCGCAAGTTGACTGTGCACTCCTGGAATGATTGTATGTAAATAGATATCAAAGTCACGATTGAAATGCTTACTTGTATCCAGTGTATTTGCAGAGCTGCTGCATTATCCCAGAGTTCCGTAACACATCAAAAGAAAGGCGGCAACGGGCTGCGGAATGTTGACACCAATACGTTTTCCAAGTACACTGAACGTCATTGGGTGAATCATGAGACAACGCAATGAAGTCATCACATTTTGTTGGAAGACGAAATGTCATTGGATGCGTCTGCCTCTGATGTCCCTCTTAGAAATTTACAGAGGGAAGAAATATCCTGGTGAAGTTACTCCGCAGCTAACTTTTCCTCCGTTGGCCCTGTGTGGCCAAAAATTTATATTTCAGGTTTTTTTTTAGAGGTGAAATTAATTTGACATTGTTTGAAATGTTTAACCATCGTAATGTTTGCGTCGTTCCCAGGTGGAGCTCATTAATATGGCTGCAGTGTTGAGCACATGAGCATTTCAGTCTTCAGCATGAAAAGTGTTTTGGCCCAAATTAAGCTTGACAAAACTGATGTGCTTATCCCATATGAATTCATTAAAGCGTTTCCAGACCGTAGGTTTGTAATTTTTACATCTCCTCCCATGTACACTTCAATTAAAGACAATTAAAGATCAACTTCTTTAATAATGTGTGCTTGTTGCTTGCCAAAAAAGAACGCGCCGTACCAAGCATTTACAAATGAATTAATCTGTCCCAGTGTAACAGTTAATAACATACTTAATACTTTTATATCTCATTTTTCAGCGAAAACCTCCACCCTGTTTACTTCCAGTTGGAATATTAACATAATATAATACACACTTGCTGTTGTAGCTGCTGCACTTACAAAAAATATATATATATATGGTTTGAATATTTGTTCTGATTGCTTAAAATACTGTTTGTATTTAACAGTGAAGTGGATTTGGTAAATGGCTGATTATCTTTAAGTAACTTGGTTAGTTTTAGTAACCCCATATTTATGGATTCATCTATGTTTTATCTCAGAACGGACATGACGGGGAAGAGATGGCGAACTCAAACAGAACGACCCCCCCCCCCCAAAAAAAAAAAAAAAAAAAAAAAAAGAGGAATCTGGTAAGCTTAATTGCTTTTTAAA